GATAAGGAATCAAGTGAGGAGCTGAGTGATAAGAAGAGTTCTCATGGGAACCCACCTGCAGCCATGGAGATCAACAGAAGTCTTTGTTTACAAATCAGAGATGAAAATAGTCTGCAAATTTATTTATTGATTGGTTTACAGAGTTTATGGAGGCAACAATTCAATGCTAAGGTCAGAGAGATTATGTGGGAAAGTTGTGGAAAAAGTTCACGAGAAATTGAATTATTTTATGGGTGTCTATTAAACAACAAATTGTTTACCTTAAGGTCAGTTCAGGCAACACTACATTAGAGTGAGAAGCTAAGCCTGAGTTCTCTTATTCCTGGTTCAAGTCAAGCTTTGATTTTGGATGTAATATATCCTGGAAGTTTTCTATGTTCCTGTTCATGTACTCCTGTTCAAGTTATACCTTCCTGTTTGTGGATTTACACTGTATCTGTGATTCCTGGCTGTTCTAGACTTTGTCAGCTCTGGAACTTTATGAGATATCTGGATTATTGTTTGGTTATCATCTTTTTCTGACCTTTTTTTTTTTTTTGGATTATAGCTCTTCCTTTCTTCTTCCTCATTTTTATATGCTTTTTATATGGTTTTTGCAATAAACCGTTTGTTTATATTCCTGGATTCTTGTGTGGTATGGTGGTCATGGGTGTTTCCAGGCCTGGTGTGCAACAGTGGGCTTGATTATGTTAGTTTCCCTACCAGATATGAGATCATCAGTCCCACGATCCCTGCCAGGAACCTGCTGAACTTTGCTGCATTTCTACTACTAAAAGGAAGGGTTCCTAAGGCACTTTGTATATGTAAAACATGTGCTGTACTCCAGATCTTTCCTACCACTCAAGTCATTGTGGTGGGCACTACCACTCACCTGGGAGTCTCCAGCTCTGATCCATCCCTTCTTCCGTTTCTTAGGAGTTCACTTGGGGTTCCACTAGTGCTGAGACTGCTTTCGCTGGACCATGAACCAGACCTGATCAAAGGGAGGCAGAAAACGAACCCATATAGACCAACCTCCTGGCCCCTCTAGAAGTGTTGGTCTACAGCTTCTACCATTTCTAGTCAAAACATTTAAATTGATGTAGATTGTAGTCAAGACCACACCGTTATTTCTAGCTTTCATGTAGGACAATATATGAATGATCAATGAGTGATGATGTCTTCATAATGACATCAACATAAATAACTGGTAAGGCTCAAGACTGGAAGGAGGAAACTAATCATGGTCCCAATTTCATCTTACTATGTGACAGTTTTAGGCAAGTTGCTGTGCTCACAGCCTCATTTCTGCAACCCACCAATTAGTAAAGGAGGAACAGTAATGGTCCACATTGTAAGGTTAATGTAAAAATATGTGAGAATAGGAAACTGCTTTAAAGTTTCCAGATCTTCTACATTCATGACAAATTATTAAATCATATTAATTTATACATAAGAAGGTTAGATGAAGCAAGACTCAGTTTTAAACCAAGTATGAAAAAATGTCCTTGAGTGTGTTGAATGGTATCTAGAGATAACATAGCAACTAAGTGTCAACATTTAATAAAAGGTACAATTGTTGAGAAAGGGCCCTGCCTGAGGTATTGCACAACTTTTGTGAGCAGTAAGCACAGAAGATGGGACTCATTTGTCTGCCTTCTTACGTTGCCAGGTAAGCCTCCACTTTTTTGTATTCAGTGTCACTTGGACTGTCATCTACCATCTCATACATGGACTTCCTCTCAAACCCAGAAGAAGATCTGCAACAACAAAAGAGACCAGTGTCAGTTGAGATACTGTCCTAAATCATTCAACTGCCCGAGATCTTCCTTACTTATGAACCTCTCCGATTATTATCACCAGTAAGATTGAAACAGAGTTGTGATTTATTCAAATGAAACCATTTATGAATGCAAGATCAATGAATGTGGTCATGTAACAATAAGGGGTTGTCTTATGACAGCCAATTCCTCCTATATTATTTTGATCTTTGTCAGCTTTCAGAACCATGCTGCCAATGTAAACCTAGGCTTCTGGTTCCTTGACAGTTCAGTAACAGGCACAATATCCTTTAAAACTGTTTTCACCTCTGAGAAGGTGCAGTCCTTGGCCTCTTTCCTTGCAATGGCTGGAATATGCTCCAGATCTTGCAGAAACCAGGCCATTGATGGAGAACACATATTGGTTTTCCCTTTCTGTTCCATACCTTTTAGGGTGGATATCCACATCACTGTCAAAGCGGGAAGGCACCTTGTATTTTGATCCGGAGAGAGAATCTATTGGATCCTTTGCCAAAGTCTGAGTCCTATCAGAGAAATATTATTATTACTAGCTGTAGCTGCCACGCGTTGCTGTAGCCAACCTTTCCTCCCTCTTTCTCTTCTTTTTCTATCTTTCTTTCTCTCCTTCCTTCCTTCCCTCTTTCTTTCTTCCCTCTTTTTCTTTCCCTTCTTCCTTCTCTACCTGTTTCTTTTCTCGCTTCCTTTGCTCTTTGGTTCCATCCTTCCTTATCTCTTTCCTTCCTTCCTTCCTTCCCTCCCTCTTTCTCTTTTTTATTTCCTTCTCTCCTTCCTTCCTTCTCTACCTTTCTTTCCTTCTCTCTTTCTTTCCCTCTTTCTCTCCTTCCTTCTTTCCTTCCCCCTTCTCTCTCCTGTGTATGTGTTTTGTGTGTGCATATATGTGTGTATATATTTCTGTATATATTTGTGTATATGTGTATATGCGTGTGTTTGTGTACATATGTGGTTTTGCGCATGCATTGTAATGTATTTTTTTGTTTTTTGGCTTTTTAAGTATCTTCTGCTGTATTTTGCAGTGTTTTTATGAGTGATGGTGACTTGTTGGCCTGATAGGTGTACTATGTCCAAATTTCATATCAATTTGTCCAGTTTTTGAGTTATGTTAATCCCACAAACGAACATTACATTTTATTTATATAGATTATTATTATTATTATTATTATTATTATTATTATTATTATTAATTTTGTTTTGATCCCACCTTTCACTCAAGGTGGCTAACAATAATTACAAAACAACACCAATTAAAAACAATGTGAATAGATTAAAATTTAACTATAAAATCTGAAAAAATGTATGCTATTAAAAATAATAAACATTAAAAGTATTAAAATTGTTTTCTGTTGCTCTCATTGCTGAATTTAGCTCCATAGCAGGAGTGACCCCCAGAAAGGACTGCTTTTGGCTTATATCCTAACAAAGTTGCTCCACTGTCATTTTAAGCTTTTACTTACTTAGAAGTGAATGACTGATGTTCAGGTTGTTCTGCGACTTGCGGACTTGGGCTGGAATATTTGAATTCTGTGCTGAAGTCCTCCTCTTTGTGATTCAAAGGAGATCTGTCAAGAGAGAGGTCTTGTGCTACTTCTCATATCCTGTTACATCTGCAGTTTCGGTTCAAAACTACCCTCGTTTTGATTTGAACTGGATCCCTCCTTCCGTATTTGAGCTCAGGGGGAAACAATGGTTTGATATATTTTACAATTTTATTAAAAATGCTCATTTCAATTGCATATTTTTTTAATGGCATTGAATATTTGCCTGCGTGTAAAGCCACCTTGAGTCCCGTTTCCCCCCCCCCCTCCCCCGGGGCTGAGAAAGATAGAAATGTCATAAATAAATAAATAAACCCAGAGAAGACAGAAAAGCAGACTTTCAATCTTAACATCACAAACCTTTTATAATAAAAAACTAAAATTACCAAGAGGGTTACTGTTGTAATTCAGCCAATGAGTGTACCTAATGTCAAGGAGGAAGTAGATCACGGGATTTCTGGGCTTGCTGAGCCTGTGAGCCTGCATGAGATTTTAAGTCCTGAAATTGAGCATTCTGTGTCTCCTGCAGTTAGTGAAGGCAAAGGTCACATTCCAGAGAAGGGCCCAGAGAAGCCTTTCTCTAGGGAAGTGAGTTCAGAGGATGAACTGACAGGTGGAGAGGTTAATGACCCGATAGATAGGAGACTTGGTTTTTGCAAACTCTGAGCTGCTTCACAGATTCAGCAAAGGTCACAGAGCTTGTTAGAGAAAAAGCCATTATCATTTTGCCAGGGAAAACGGAATGATTTCATGGCTTTATTACAGAGACCAAAGGGGATTTTTCAGCAGTCTGGTCAATGTTGGAGTTTGAAGCAACATCTCTAGTCTAGTCTTGGTCAAGCCTGCCAAGGGAATTATAGTTTCTTGTTTCCAGTTAGTTGTTCATGTTCCATGCTTCCAAATTTGGAGGATTATTCCTGAATTTTGTGCATTGGATTTTATGCTGCCTTGTGTATCCCGATTCTTTGCATTCCTGGTTTTTGATGCAACTCTTGTACTTTCTTATGGACTATTTCACACCTTTACATTTAAATGTTTTTACTATTTTGCTGAATTGCTTTTTATATATTCTTCAATAAACTCCTTTGCTGATTTACATTGGACTGGAATGTGGTGGTGAAGTACAAAGGTGCTTCCTGCCCTGGAATACAACAGTCACTAGGTGATCTGGAACTGGAAACTACCAAGTTCATTGCGTTACACTGCTAGGAATGACTGAAGGTGGTAATTATATAACTGCCATCTTCAGTTATATTAGAACAGAATAAATTCTTACGTCTTTGGGCTTGCTGCTGGGCAGATGGCAATGTGAGGAATTGGAGAAGTTTGATTTCCTGTTGCATCGTTCGGCTTTCTTGTTTCCCAACTGTGAATGGAAAAATGGCACCTGATTAATAAAAGATCTGTAATTTCTATGTTTTTCTCTTTTTATCAATCACCTTTATGTAATGCCAGGGCCAAACTGAGCATGATGCATAAATGTATAATTGGAAAAATCATTCTGTAGCTGGATTATATGGCAGTGGAGACTCATATAATCAAGTTCAATGCATTTAATCTGAATTCTGAAACTAGATTATATAGCAGCGTACATTTAGCCACAGTCCAACACTCAAAACACTATACCATAGTGGTTCTGTTTCCTAGATTTACATCAGAAATTCACAAAAAAATCTGCTTGGGGTCAAAGAACAGATGTGCCACAAACATTTTGTATTCATGTGCCTTTAAGTTACCATTTATTTATGGTGACACTAATACATTTATAGGATTTTCTTAGGCAGGAGTTATTAACTGCATGTTTGCCATTGCCTTTCTTGAAATATAGCCTATTCCCATCTCACAGTCTTTGATGGTCCCCATCTATGTACAAACCAGGACAGATTCTACCAACAGAAAGGACCTGGTGCCTTTGTGGGTTGTTAACAAACAGTTAAACCCAGGACGTGGCAAAGGCAGAGTTAACCATTACTTCACCAATAGGATTATTTTCTGAAAGGGATTATGGCTTGCATGGAAAATGTACTTCTTCCAATCCTGGTGTCCAACAAGGATAGAAGTCATTTACTACTATTTGAGCCAGAACTACCATCCCAAAAATTACCTGTGTTCAGAAAAAATGGTATTTTGTGTTTCGGTACTTGGTGCCGTCTGCAAGATTCTATCATTCCTTTCACTGTGGAAATAAACAAAGATTAGAAAATACTAATTATTTGAGTTTTTATTCTACAATGCAGATACACTACAAGTCTACTCAACGTGCTATTTTCCTTCTTTCAGTTGATCCAGCACCATCTAGTGCTCAGGCTTCTATTTGCAAATTGAAAAAAAGTTTGAGTTTTGTTTTTCAAACACTTTCAGTTATTGTCCATAATCGGTTGAATAAGCAGGCAAGGTCTTTCACTGTATTATTGAAATCAACTACTTGACTATTTTATCTGGAGGACACAAGGATGAGGAAACATCTTGCTGGATTGGATCTACCTGTGTTGCTGCAGGCTTTTCCAACTGCACCCAACACTTCAGCTGGAATGATTACTAGGTTTTTTTTCCACCAGATTTTGCAGTGAATTTTTTCATACATAAGATTTGCCCACTCTGGTTCGGTCCACAGTGCCATCACATTCCACAAACATTGTCAGTGTTGTTACAGTAAGTCATAACAGGATCGTGTGTGTGTGTGTGTGTGTATTAAAGAAAACCTTATACTGCTGGTCATTGTGTGCAGCTGCTAATGTAGGTCAGCAAGTAAGTTTGGACCACATCCGGTAGGGTATAACTCTATGTGTTTTAGAATACAGTTTAGCTTTTGCTCAGGCATTTTGCTCAGCTATTTGTACTGATCTCTCATTTGAATGAAGATGAAGAAGACTTATTCTGTATTACTTACAAGGACTATGTAAATTTGTTGCACCATTTGATTTTGTTTGCAACACTGCAAGTTTATGTTTTAACTCTGCTGATAAGAGTATCGTTTTTCTGTTCTTTTTCCTCTTGGCTGTGTGCAATGTTATTGTGTCTTCTGCATTGGACCTGACTGAAACCTGCTATTCGCAAGAAGTGTGTGCCTTTGTCAATCTCTTCCCTCAATGTCTTGGTAAAGCTGTCTCATCGCTTTAATAATAATAATAATAATAATAATAATCTTATTTGTACCCCGCTACCATCTCCCCAAGGGACTCGGTGCGGCTTACATGAGGCCGAGCCCACAATACAACAATAAAAACAATAGCAACAGTAATACAAAACAATAAATAAACTCATAAGCAGAAAATAAGCAATAAACATTAACAATAACACAATGATGTTTAAAAACCTGTGGCTGGGCCAAATGTAATAATTAAAAAATTTAAAAATAAAACCATGCAATGCAATGTATCTGCTAGCATCTTGTGCAATAACAATAGAAAACTTAGAGTAAGCCCTTGATTAGGGCACATTCACCCCATGCAAAGACTTTGGCAGCAGAAGCAGCAAGAACAGTGCAACCTATTTGTCTCCCTATGCAATATATGTTATTTAGTAGGCATGTGCAATCCATGGTTCTAATGGTTCTAACGTACTTACAAAACTAAAGTACTTGTGGTGAAAACTAGGGGGCGCTTGTGCTTTGCTTCTACAGTGTTGCTAAAGTTCCGGTGGTAGAAACTTTCAGAACTCTAACACAACTTTCAAAATTTCATTATAAATGGCAGTTCCTAATAGGTTCTGTCATAAAAATCACCAATAATGAAATAATAATGAAATTTTGAAAGTTTTGTTAGAGTTCTGAAATTTTCACCACCAGAACTTTAGCAACACTGTAGAAGCAAAGCACCAGCGCCCCCTAGTTTTCACAACCAGAACTTTAGTTTTGTAAGTACTTTAGAACCATTTAGAACAGGGGTCCACAAACTTTTTAAGCAGAGGGTCAGGTCACAGTCCCTCAAACTGTTGGAGGGCCGGATTATAATTTGAAAAATAAAACATGAATTCCTGTGCACGCTGCACATATCTTATTTGTAGTGTAAAAAACACTTAAAAACAATACAATAATTAAAATGAGGAACAATGTTAACAAATATAAACTTATTAGTATTTAAATGGGAAATGTGGGCCTGCTTTTGGCTGATGAGATAGGATTGTTATGTGCTTTCAAGTCGTTTCAGACTTAGATTGACCCTGAGCGAGGGCCGGGTAAATGACCTTGGAGGGCCGCATCCGGCCCCGGGCCTTAGTTTGAGAACCATTTAGAACCATGGATTGCACATGCCTATTATTTAGGACCACCCAGGTTTTACCTTCTCTTTGAAGGAGATGTAGACACCTCAAAGGAAATAAGTTGGTGTTTCTCTTGATCAGGTTTGGGACTGGAGAAAGGAAGTAAAGGAAAACAATAATGATATTTGGAAATAAATCTAGACATGACAAGAAAACAAAAAAGAAAGGGTTTGATCATCAAGAGAGGGTTTTCTCTCAGTCCCATCATCCTTGTCCACCCACCTGGTTGTGTCCGGTGGGCAGGATTTTCTCAATATTTTGCAAAGACCACAAACTGAATAGGAAATGGAAAGTTCACAGTGCTTCCCAGATTCCCTGCTTTGCAACATTTACTTCTGAGTAAATCAACGAATGCTATGTATCTGGCACTCTACCTGCTTTCTTTGGAACTAAAGTGGTTGAAAGTGGAAGAGGATTCAGTCGGCTGGGAGGCTTGACTCTTGTTGACCACGTTGATACTGTAAAAAAAGCAAAAAAAGCAGGAGAATTTCTCATCAACACGACACTCAGGAAAGCTGAGAAATATTTTTAACTTTCTAGGCATCTAACTAGATAAGCAATGCAATTCTGGGAGTTGTAACACCCCAAAAAAGGTACTTTACAAGCTCAAGTTTGATGGAATGGTATTAACTCAATACAAGCTTTCTGATTTTCAAAACATCATCTGCTCCCCTTCATAACACACAGTGAAATAGGATGAGTCTGGTAGAGATAGCAAAGGAGAGCCCTGCTTAATGCCATTTTCCCCAAACAAATGGAAAGCTCCATGAGCACTTCCATTAGGACCAGTCCAAAACTCTCCTGTGCCTGAAGTGAGCAACTGTACTTCATACATCATTTCCAGCACAAGGCCCAAGGAAAAGAAATGAAATAAAAGAACTCAGGCAGGCAGATGCATATTGCATAAATTGTGGCCTGTAAGCCTTAATGACAGTGGTTCTCTCAACCTGGGGGTCGGGACCCCTGTGGGGGTCGCGAGGGGGTGTCAGAGGGGTCACCAAAGACCATCAGAAAACATAGTATTTTCTGTTGGTCATGGGGGTTCTGTGTGGGAAGTTTGGTCCAATTCTATCATTGGTGGGGTTCAGAATGCTATTTCATTGTAGGTGAACTATAAATCCCAGCAACTACAACTCCCAAATGTCAAGGTCTATTTTCCCCAAACTCCACCAGTGTTCACATTTGGGCATATTGAGTATCTGTGCCAAGTTTGGTCCAGATCCATCACTGTTTGAGTCCACAGTGCTCTCTGGATATAGGTGAACTACAACTCTAAAATTCAAGGTCAAGTCCACCAGACTCTCCCAGTATTTCTCTTGGCCATGGGAATTCTGTGTGCCAAATTTGATTCAATTCCATCATTGATGGAGTTCAGAAGGCTCTTTGATTTTAGGTGAATTATAAATCCCAGCAATTCCAACATTCCCAAATGACAAAATCCATCCCCTCCAACCCCACCAGTATTCAAATTAGATGGTTTTAGGGGGAGGGGGGGTTGATTGATTTTGTCATTTGAGAGTTGTAGTCGCTGGGATTTATAGTTCACCTACAATCAAAGAGCATTCTGAACTCCACCATCAATGGAATTAAACTTGGCCCACAGAACTCCCATGACCAACAGAAAATAGTGGAAAGATTTGGTGGGTATAGACCTTGAGTTTGGGAGTTGTAGTTCACCTACATCCAGAGAGCACAAACAATGATGGATCTGGACCAAATTTGGCACAGATGCTCAATATGCCCAAATGTGAACACTGGTGGAGTTTGGGAAAAGTAGACCTTGACATTTGGCAGTTGTAGTTGCAGGGATTTATAATTCACTTAAATCAAAGAGCATTCTGAACATCACCAACGATAGAATTGGGACAAACCTCCCACACAGAACCCCCATGACTAACAGAAAATACTATGTTTTCTCATGGTCTTTGGTGACCCCTCTGATACCCCCTCATGACCCCTCTGGGGGTCCCAACCCCCAGGTTGAGAACCACTGCTCTAGTGGGAATTGGGGGGGGGGGGGGAGAGAAACTCAATTTTTGCTGTCATTGGAATACAAAAGTATCCAATCAGAACTGGAATTGGGTAACTGCAAGAATTGGTTACTGTTGAAGGTAGATTAAAACTTTTAAAACAAAATAGGTTACCTCTTTTCACGACTGCTGAACCACGCGGAGGCAGGCATTGTCTGACTTCTGGAGCGCGGGCTGCTGCCATCTTCCACATCAGTCCTTTTCAGAAGAAAATAAGCCAGTGTGTGAAGTCCATTGTCATTATGTCCTTTCTCTCTAGAATAGGATGCCTAACATGGCTCTACAGGGATCTATTGTTTTGTGATAGGTTGAGGTTAAAATATGAGAAGAGAAGGAAGAATATATATACCCAAATGCAGTTGGAAGAAGTGGATAAGATGTGGATGCCCTGAAATTGTGTGGTTCTTTTCAGCATAATTTCTGAGGAATTCAAACCTTCTTCTTACCTCTTAGCCACGATGGATGGTGAATCTTGTGTTGGTGAACTCCTGTAGACACACAAAAAATTGCATATGATTGGAGTGTTTTTATTTCTAACTAGCTGTACCCGCCATGTGTTGCTGTGGCCAACCTTTCCTCCCTCTTTCTCTTCTTCTTTCCCTCCTTCCTTCGCTTCCTCTTTCCTTCCTTCCCCCTTTTCCTTCCTTCTTTCTCTCCTTCCTTCCTTCTCTACCTCTTTCCTTCCTTCCCCCTTTTCCTTCCTTCTTTCTCTCCTTTCTTCCTTCTCTCCTTCTTTCCTTCCATCCTTCACTCTTTCCTTCTTTCTTTCCCTCTTCCTTCCTTCCTTCCTTCCTTCCTTCCTTCCTTCCTTCCTTCCTTCCTTTCTCCCCTTCCCTCCTTCCCTCCCTCTTCCCTTTTTTTTATCATCATTTAGCTTTTCGTCATTTAGCTTTTTGGGGTTTTTTAAGTTTTCCCACTGCTTTTTTTGGTGGGAGGTTATGGGTGATGGTCACTCATTGGTCTGTTAGGGATAAAGTGTCCAAATTTCACGTCAATTAATCCAGTGGTTTTTGAGTTATGTTAATCCCACAAACATTTATTTATATCACTGCAGTGAAGAGAACTTGCCGGTGGGAACACTATCACTATCCATTCCAATTTACAAGGACATTCTTCTCCCCATTCCTTCTTCCCATGTTTTACACATTCCAGTTTTGCTGGGATGCACATTAGTAGCACTTGAGTCTTTGGTGATGCTTTCATCTTATAGCAGTAGTGCCAACCTTTGGTCCTTTAGATATTCTGGACTTCAATACTAAGAGATTTCAGCCAGCAGGAGTAATGATTAGGGGTTCTAGGAACTGAACTAGAAAACATCTGGAGAGTGTTTTAGGATTTAGATAGATATACGGTCAGTCATCCATATTCAGTTGGGTTAGGGCAGTGGTTCCCAGCCTGTGGTCCATGGACCACAAGTGGTCCCCAAGCACTAAAATATAGTCCACGGCCTCACTGCTAGTACACCATTGCAACGAGAGCAACTGGTCTTGCAAAACCCTCTTATAGTGCAGAGGCAACGGGGATGTCAGGAGGGGAGAGACTGACAACCCCCGAAAGGCACGACAACAAGCCTCCTGACTGTTGTTTCTCCTCCTGAGTGGAGCCGTTCCATGTAGCACCTGGAAACGGGTGCCTTGGTGTCTTCATTTTTAGGTCTGTTTCTGGGGTTATTTGGGGTGCTGATTCAGAAAACTGCATTGAATAGACCACATCAGCTCTAGATTATTAAATATGGTGGGTGAGCAGATGGTGACTACTGAATGGCGTATCTTCTGTATCAGAAACTAGAGCTTGTGTGGTCTATCCAATGCAATTTTCTGAATCAGCACCCCAAATAACCAAACTGAATCCAAAGTTGACCAAAAATGGACTCAGTTAATCCTTTTGCTACTAATGTTGGAGAGTGGTCCCTGGTTAAAGTAGCCCCTGGTCGACCAAAGGTTTGCAACCACTGGATTAGCAGGACAGAACTCTCATTAAAGTAGGGAAACTGTGTGTAAATAAATACCAAAGAAAATGTCTATGTCCTCCACCATGCAAATGTCCACTAGAATTGCTCACGGGAAGACCCAAAGATTTCTAAAGATCATCTATATAAACAAAAATGTAATGTTTGTTTGTGGGATTAACAGAACTCAAAAACCACTGGACGAATTGACACCAAATTTGGACACAAGACACCTAACAACCCAATGTATGTCCTTCACTCAAAAAAATTGATTTTGTCATTTGAGTTGTAGTTGCTGGGATTTATAGTTCACCTACAATCAAAGAGCATTCTGAACCCCAATGATGGAATTGAACCAAACTTGGCACACAGTTCTCCCATGACCAACAGAAAATACTGGAAGGGTTTGGTGGGCAGTGTCCCTTTGGTTTTGGAGTTGTAGTTCACCTACATCCAGAGATCACTGTGGACTCAAACAATGATGGATCTGGACCAAACTCTACACAAATACTCAATATGCCCAAATGTGAACACTGTGGAGTTTGGGGAAAAGATCTTGACATTTGGGATTTGTAGTTACTGGGATTTATAGTTCACCTACAATCAAAGAGCATTCTGAACCCACAAATGAGAGAATTGGGGCAAACTTCCCATACAGAATCCCCTGAGACAATAATAATCTATATAAATAAAATGTAATGTTCATTTGTGGGATTAACATAACTCAAAAACCACTGGACAAATTGACACCAAATTTGGACACAATACACCTATCAGGCCAACGAGTGACCATCACTCATAAAAACACTGAAAAACACAATGGAAGAGACTTAAAAAGCCAAAAAAAAATTACAACACATGAGCAAAACCATATATATATATATATATATATATATATATATATATACGCAAACACATATATACACATATACACAAATATATACACACACAAAACATGGTGGGGGACAGCTAGTATTTGAATAAAATCTGCAAATAGTCAGATCCACTCTGGGTTCAGCATATTGCTTCACACTGGGATCAGCAAATGTGGAAGGCTGACTGTACACCATATCCAAATTGCATCATGGTAAATAAATTGTACATGAAGAAATAACTACTTTATTGCTATATTTAGCTTTAATTTCATTTGTTTTTATTAGCATAAAGACAAGGGTCAGAGGCAGACTGACGGAGGTAGACCGACTACAAATAGGTAAGCTTATGTTCTTTCCCAGCCTCCCATCGAAACGCTGACTTTTCACAGACAATGCCATGATCCTTCTAAGCTTCTCTGTCTTTAAACCAGATTTGGACTGAACAGCCCTTCAAACAAGGGATTCCTTCCATGAGAAGGCTTCCGTGAAGGAGAACACTTCCTTATTCGATTCCCATGTTTGCTCCACACTGGGTTCGGCATAATGCCACTACTGTACATTGCTGGCTGGCTTTATATTAAACCTTCAACTTCGGCTCACACTCAGTTATTGTTTCCATTGCTAATCCACACAAACCCCGATTTCCTCCCCTTGCATTTACCCATTGCTTTTCTTGGCAGCTGAAAGGACATAGGAACGCTCCTTGTTGGCTGTTCGCCTGAGGACACTGCTTGCAGCTTCAGTTCTGGGGAAAAAAGAGGAGAGAATTTGGTTGTAGGTACTTTATCTTGCTTCTCGTAATCCGAGTTTCTGGATCAGCAAATGCACAGCTGGTAGCCCAATTGTTCTCCCATCACCATAGGATGAACAACTAGACTACATGCAGTGCATATACCTAACAATGACTTTGATTAGTGTCTTTTCTAAAGAGATAAAGCAGAATATAAATAAAGTATATTATCTATATATATAAAAATGCTCTGTGCGTAATGGGTACCTTAAAAACAAAAGAACCAATGAACGAAATCATACCAGACTTGGCAACAAAACATCTCACAACACAAGGAGTGTCCATCACTCAAAAAGTTATGATTTTGTCATTTGGGAGTTGTGGTTGCTGGGATTTATAGTTCACCTATAATCAAAGAGCATTCTGGACTCCACCAATGATGGAAATGAACCAAACTTGGCACATAGGACTCCCCTGACCAACAGAAAACACTAGAAGGGTTTGGTGGGCATTGACCTTGAGTTTTGGAGTTGTAGTTCACCTACATCCAGAGAGCAGTGTGGACTCAAACAATGATGGATCTGGACCAAACTTGGCACGAATACTCAATATGCCCAAATGTGAACACTGGTGGAGTTTGGGGAAAATAGATCTTGACATTTGGGAGTTGTAGTTGCTGGGATTTATAGTTCACCTACAATCAAAGAGCATTCTGAACCCTCACCAATGATAGAATTGGGCCAAACTTCCCACACAGAACCTCCATGATCAACAGAAAATACTGTGTTTTCTAGTGGTCTTTGGTGACCCTTCTGACACCTCCCCCACCCCCCCCCCCCCCCCCGGGGTCTTGACTTCCCAGGTTGAGAAATGCTGCCTTAAGGCCATCCAGTCCAACTCCCTTCACCAGGGCAAGAAAACATAATCAAAGCCCTCCTGACAAAGGGCCATCCAGCCATTCACAGACACACATATATGTATATGACAGATGCAGTATCAAAGATTTGAAAGGGACCCCTAAAGAAGGACAATGATATGTTGTATGTTCCAGAGTAGGCAAACCAGACAATCTCCACATCAACACTGGCAAAGAAAGAGCAAGAAATACTGTTTACCCACAAGCATGAAGACATTACATATATTGGAAACCAACACTTTCTCATTACTTTATTTTCCAGATCAACAGACTGGGCCACAGCAACACGTGGCAGGGGACAGCTAGTTATTATTATTATTATTATTATTATTATTATTATTATTATTATTATATTTAGTTATTATTATTATATTTAGTTATTATTATTATTATATTTAGTTGTTGTTATTATTATTATTATTATTATTATTATTATTATTATTATTATTATTATTATTATTATTAAGAGCCATGGCCATTCTATTTTGCTCATTGGAGTAAACCAGGGGCATGCATCTAAAGATGCATACAAAAACAACCAAAGTAATTCTAGAATCTAAAATAAAGCATTTGTCCCAGCTCAAATATATGTTAAGCTTCAGCTGTCGTGATGGAATACCTCTTTTTTTGCTCATCTGGGGAAACAGAAGGCTCCTCCTCTCCTGGATCTGATAGTTCTCGCTTGATGTTGTATGGAGCTCTGATTCACATGCAGGTAAAGAAAAGGGTATTTTAATATAAACAGCACTGGCTTGTCAAACTCACTACGTTACACACAAGATTACGATTTTACAAAAATTATCCCGACCCTCCTAGAAAACCGCAGCTTCTATGTCGAGTTTCAGGGCAGGAAAAGTAGATGGAGGAGGCAAAAGAATGCGCTATCTCAAGGCAGCATTCTTGAAACGGCTATTATTATTATTATTATTATTATTATTATTATTATTATTATTTACTACATTTATATACCGTCCCTTGGAGTGGTTTATAGTCAATATCAAAGACATAAAATGCAATTTAAAAACAATCAATTTAAATATAAAACCAAGTAAAACAATCAATATCAATAAAAACAAATATCAATTTGAGTCTCCTAGTTAAAAGCTTATCCAATAACATCGTTGAGTCGTTCAGTTTTTCTCCATGTCTGTTATATTGTGTCTGCAAATGCTTGCTCAAAGAGCCATGTCTTGACCTGCTTTCGAAATGTTAAAAGGGAAGGTGCCGATCTAATATCCCTGGGGTGGGCGTTCCATAGCCGAGGAGCCACCACTGAGAAGGCCCTGTCTCTCGTCCCACCAACTGCACTTGTGATGAAGGTGGGATTGAGAGCAGGACCTCTCCAGATGATCTTAAAGTCCAAGAGGGTTCATAAAAATTGAACATTTTTACTAAGATAAGCCACAATCACCACTCGCGTAGCTTTATATACGCTGATGACCTTGGCCTAACAATACAAGCAAAAGACTTTGATAGAGTTAAAAACCAACTTATGAATGCCCTGAAAGATCTCTCCAGCTACAACAAAGATAACCACCTAAAGCCTAACCCTGCCAAGACACAAGTGTGTGCTTTCCATCTATGGAATTGTGAGGCCGACAGAAAACTAAAAGTTCCCTGGGAAGGCCAAGAGCTCAAACACTATTCCTATCCTAAATATCTCAGTGTCACCTTATATCAAACACTAACACTGCATATTATTCTGGATAGTAAGTGCAAATCAGGTGGGTTGAAGTAAATATAGAAAATGATTATTGAACAACTTCAATATACTCACAATTTCTTGTATTCGTCGGTTGACATTTTGTACCCTTGGGGGGAACGGGCTACGCTGCTGTTCTTGGCACTGAAAACAGAAGGCACCCAAACTTAATAAGAGAAGTAAAGAAATAGGAGTATTTTTCCCCCTGAAGGAATGTGTTAATAAGATGATAATGATGATGATTATGATGATGACGATGATAGATTTTATTTCTTACCCACCTCTCCCCAAGGCTCAAAGTGGGATACAACAGAATTAAACTACAATAGGTTAAGTTATATTAATTGTATTGTTTTATTTGTTTATTGCTTTGTTGTTTTACTAATGTGTTGTTGTGCTTGGCCTCATGTAAGCCACCCTGAGTCCCCTTGGGGAGATGGTGGCTTATTATTATTATTATTATTATTATTATTATTATTATTAATAGTAATAATAGGTTAAGGTAGGTAAAGGTTTTCCCCTGACATTCAGTCGAGTCATGTCCAACTCTGGGGGTTGGTGCTCATCTCCCTTTCTAAGCTGAAGAGCCGGTGTTGTCCGTAGACACCTCCAAGGTCATGTGTCCAACATGACTGCAAGGAGCACCTTTACCTTCTCGCCGGAGCAGTATCTATTGATCTACTCACATTTGCATGTTTTTAAACTGCTAGGTTGGCAGAAGCTGGGGCTAACAGCAGGAGCTCACACTGGGGCTAACAGCAGGAGCTCACGCTGCTCCATGGATTCAAACAACCAACCTTTCAGTCAGCAAATCCAGCAGCTCAGCAATTTAACCCACTGTGCCACCGGGGGCTAAAATAAAATACAATATAAAATACAATATCTATTAAATATCTAAGGTTAAATGGGGATACAGAGACACAATTGCATTGACAGCGCTTGGGGAAGTTACATTTTGGAAACATGCTGGCTCTTCACCCAGACTTTGGGCCACCTTATTCCTGGCTAGCTGTATAGGCAAAGCTATACCCATTTCCCATTGCCAAAGAACAATACAACAAACCTTGTTGGTGAGCCGTTGGGTGTTCCATTGGAAGCTGGAGTCTTGTCAATGGTCTTGGTGAAAACCCCCCTAAAATGAAATAGGGAGGGTAAGTAGTTTTCAAGGTAATATTTCATAAGAAGAGCTGAATACTGTTAAGTGGGACCAACATCAAAATGTCTCATTGCAGAGACTTCCTGTGCAGTGCTACAATACAGTACAATTCATTGCTTCCCCTGTCCCACAGTATTATTATTATTATTATTATTATTATTATTATTATTATTATTATTATTTAAAATACAACAAGATGAGTCCACAGCAAATACTCTGCTGGCTGTTGAATTGGATCACACGTCGGACACGTTCCCAAGTGTCTAGGACTGTGTGATGTATCAGAGAATAATGCGTGCAGATCCCAGTAAGGTGGCCTTCTGCAGCTGGCAGATGGTAATTTTGTCAGCGCCGATTGTGTTTAAGTGCAGGCCAAGGTCTTTAGGCACTGCACCCAGTGTGCCGATCACCACTGGGACCACCTTGACTGGCTTGTGCCAGAGTCTTTGCAGTTCGATTTTTAAATCCTCATATCGTGTCAGCTTTTCCAGTTGCTTCTCTGCAATCCTGCTGTCACCTGGGATTGTGACATTGATAATCTATACTTTGTTTTTTAACACAATCATGAGGTCTGGAGTATTATGCTCCAAAACTCTGTCTGTCTGAATTTGGAAGTCCCAGAGTAGTTTGGCGTGTTCATTTTCTGTAACTTTTTCCAGCTTGTGATCCCACCAGTTCTTTGTCGCAGGCAGACGGTATTTGTGGCACAAGTTCCAATGAATCATCTGAGCAACGGGGTTATGCCTCTGCTTGTAGTCTGTCTGCGCGATCTTCTTGCAGCAGCTGAGGATGTGATCTATTGTTTCATCTGCTTCCTTGCAGAGTCTACATTTGGGATCTGTTGTCGACTTTTCAATTCTGGCTTTGATGGCATTGGTTCGAATGGCTTGTTCTTGGGCTGCCAGAATCAGGCCCTCCTTTGTCTCCTTTTTCAGAGTTCCATTTGTGAGCCACAGCCATGTTTTTTCTTTTTCAATTTGGCTCTCCATTTTTGCCAGAAACTGTCCATGGTGCCGCCCTGAGTCGCCTGTGGGCTGATATGGGCGGGGTAAAAATGATATAAATAAATAAATAAATAAATAGCTTCCCTAGAAGGGACCTTCAAAACCGAGAACCAGCCATCACAGACACATTCCTTTGAGAGTGCCAGGAATATGAAAGTCTCCCCTGAATAATAATAATGATGATGATGATGATGATGATGATGATGATGTACGACTACTACTACTACTAATATTAATAATAATAACTAATAATTATAAGTATTAGTAATTATTATTATTTTTCATTCGTTCAGTCGTCTCCGACTCTTCGTGACCTCATGGACCAGCCCACGCCAGAGCTCCCTGTCGGCCGTCACCACCCCCAGCTCCTTCAAGGTCAGTCCAGTCACTTCAAGGATGCCATCCATCCATCTTGCCCTTGGTCGGCCCCTCTTCCTTTTGCCTTCCACTTTCCCCAGCATCATTGTCTTCTCTAGGCTTTGCTGTCTCCTCATGATGTGGCCAAAGTACTTCAACTTTGTCTCTAGTATCCTTCCCTCCAGTGAGCAGCCGGGCTTTATTTCCTGGAGGATGGACTGGTTGGATCTTCTCGCAGTCCAAGGCACTCTCAGAACTTTACTCCAACACCACAGCTCAAAAGCATCGATCTTCCTTCGCTCAGCCTTCCCTAAGGTCCAGCTCTCACATCCGTAGGTTACTACAGGGAATACCATGGCTTTGACTAGGCGGATCTTTGTTGCCAGTCTGATGTCTCTACTCTTCACTATTTTATCGAGATTGGACATTGCTCTCCTCCCAAGAAGTAAGCGTCTTCTGATTTCCTGGCCACAGTCTGCATCTGCAGTAATCTTTGCACCTAGAAATACAAAGTCTGTCACTGCCTCCACATTTTCTCCCTCTATTTCCCAGTTGTCAATCATTCTTGTTGCCATAATCTTGGTTTTTCTGATGTTTAGCTGCAACCCAGCTTTTGCACTTTCTTCTTTCACCTTGATTAGAAGGCTCCTCAGCTCCTCCTCACTTTCGGCCATAAGAGTGGTGTCATCTGCATATCTGAGGTTGTTAATGTTTCTTCCAGCAATTTTCACCCCAGCTTTGCATTCATCCAGCCCCGCACATCGCATGATGTGTTCTGCATACAAGTTAAAAAGGTTGGGTGAGAGGATGCAGCCTTGCCGGACGCCTTTCCCAATCTTGAACCAGTCTGTTGTTCCGTGGTCAGTTCTTACTGTTGCTACTTGGTCCTTGTACAGATTCCTCAGGAGAGAGACAAGGTGGCTTGGTATGCCCATCCCACCAAGAACTTGCCACAATTTATGATGATCCACACAGTCAAAGGCTTTAGAATAGTCAATGAAGCAGAAATAGATGTTTTTCTGAAACTCCCTGCCTTTCTCCATTATCCAGCGGATATTGGCAATCTGGTCTCTCGTTCCTCTGCCTTTTCTAAACCCAGCTTGAACATCTGGCAACTCTCGCTCCATGTATTGCTGGAGTCTTCCTTGCAGGATCTTGAGCATTACCTACTGGCATGAGAAATAAGGGCCACTGTACGGAAGTTTGAGCAGTCTTTCGCATTTCCCTTTTTTGGTATGGGGATATAAGTTGATTTTTTCCAGTCTGATGGCCATTCTTGTGTTTTCCATATTTGCTGGCATATGGCATGCATCACCTTAATTATTAATAATAATTATTATTATTATAATATATGAAATCCAGCATATATATCGCATTTATGACATGCTGTTTTTTTGTGTCAGTAAACAACAACAACAATAACAACAAAACTTTATTTATATACAACTCTATTTCCCCAAGGGGATTCAGATCGGTTTCCAAGTAACATCAATAATACATACGAAGAAAACAGCATAAACATAACATTAACAAGACAATATAAGCATTAGAAAAATCACAATAGCACATATATATTTAAAATAATCCTGCCTGTTCAAGGCAATTTATAATAATAATAATAATAATAATAATAATAATAAATTAAAAATCCTGCCTGTTAAAGGCAATTTAAAATAATAATAATAATAATAATAATAATAACACTAATAATAATAAAGTTTATTATGTTTATATTCTGTTTTTTTCTCTCCACAAGGAGACAAAGTGACTTACATTAAAACTATTTACATACATTTTTAAAATCTACAAATATTCAAACATTAAAACAGAATTAAATATAATTGGTATTTAAAAATGAAGTCAAAAATCCTGAAATGGAGATATACTCCTTTGAATAATGATCTTTCCCCTTTGCATTTCACTCACCTGATAAGATACCCAGTTGGTGCCACGGTAGACCTAAGCAGAGATGAAAATACATTATTTCCAAAAAGAGAATAATCAGACAGATCCATGTTTCAGTGTAGGCTACAGAACAAAATTCACTTCATAATGTTATCTTCATTGAGTCAAAAGGCACAAAATAGATTTTAAAAATTCACTAAATTCATTCACCATGTAAAGGAGCCAATTAAGCTTTGAAAGCTAGCATGATGATTCAATAAAGCTGTCACTATAGGACAGATTTGGGATTCACCCAGACAACTCTGGAAAGCTGAACCCATAATGGTTTCTCATTTGATGACGACACTGTACTAACCACACATTTCGAAGGGCAAATGGTCATTTCCTATAGCCATCTCCCAATTGTTTGTTAACTGAGCAAGAGAACAATTTGAGAGCTTGAAAGGCTCCCCTCTCATTTTGAGGCTAGCTTGCTAAACCTTTTCATTTAATTTTCAAGCTTGTTTTTGAGAACGTTGAAGCACAAACTTGGCACTTGGAGAGAAACGGAATGAGGACGCTCATCTCTAACCTTCACCACAATGCCAGTTGATGAGCTACTGACAACTGGCACTGCTCGTTCGCTTCCATTGGCTTCCTACTATACGACAATYATGCCAACTTCTCCAGCGAAAATTCCCCACGAGAGCTACGTGCCTTGTAACCTTACTTTTCAGATAACCCTTGTATCTTCAACCATTTTACAGAAAATTACTACATGTGCACATTTAGAACGAGACATTTATAGTTTGCTGCTCAGAGAGCTTTCAATAACCCAATGTTAGATTTGGGTAACTTTGGGGTGTGATTTAAATGAAGGGTGATGCTTTAGTATTGCATTATAAGAGGCAAACTCACTTTCTGGAAGGACTTGTTGGTGTCAATGGAGACTTTGACTCTGCTTGGGAAGGGGATTCTGGAGAAGTTGTCCTGGGAAAATGGAAGAGAAATATTAAGAATAATTAAGAATACGGTGCTACATCAGAATAGAAAAAAGCAGAGTTCGAGTTGATGTTGAAAGCAAAGTGCTCTCAAAGTGAGTGAAGAAATGAGATGGAAGGAGTCTTTTATACGGATTGATGCCTGGGTAATAACTTTGAAATGCGGCTGAAACATTGGCCCATGGATTGAGCAGGAAGTAGAGAATGTAGGAAAGGTCCCCTCCTGCTCAAAAGGAAGTCTACTATACACACAAGAGACCTTACACAGCTTCATACTTATAAAAACTACTTTGAACATTGCTCTTGGGCATCTCATGCAGTCTTTCGCCATCCTTGCTACCTAATGGAGATGCTAGAGCTTGAACATGCAAAAAAGTGTTCCTTCCACCACTCAGCTAGGGTTCCTTCTTGGGACTGGAAAACTTAGAATTATGCTCCTTAAGGTAACTTTTCCACACACTGCTTTCCTCTCTAGAAGAAGCCTGTTTCTGATCATCCATCTCTAATGTCAAAGCACCAGAACGGGACAAGGATGCTATCTGGCATCACAACCAAGTTCTCCTCTTCCTTCTCAGTTTAGGATCATAATAGCAACTATCGATCTAGAGCAGCATTTGTCAACCTGGGGGTCGGGACCCTTGGGGATCGCTGGGGGATTTCAGAAGGGTCACCAAAGACCATCAGAAAACACATATTTCTCATGGTCTTAGGAACCCCTTTGACAGAGAAAGCTAAAGATCTCCCCGCCTGTCCTCCTCTTCCTTTTTGGAAACAGACAGCAAATACTCCCACCAAGACCCCTCCTCATGCTGTGATTGGACAGCCTCTCAGCTGGCCTCTCAGCCAAGGGGAGGGCTGTTTTTGAGACTCCAAGAGGGGAGAGCAGGTTGTGCTTGGTGCATGGCATGTGCAAGTGAGGGAGAGCATGTGAGGCTGGAGGGAGGCTTGCATCCAAAGCATAGGGAAAAGTGCCCTTTGATTGTAGGTGAACTGTAAATCCTAGCAACTGCAACTCCCAAAGGACAAAATCAATCCCCCAACCCCACCAGTATTCAAATTTGGTCTGTTCATAACAGTAGCAAAATTACAGTTATGAAGCAGCAATGAAAATAATTTTATGGTTGAGGGTCAGCACAACATGAGGAACTGTATTAAGGGGTCATGGCATTAGGAAGGTTGAGAACCACTGATCTAGAAGATGATAGGCTTTCTAGTTTAGCAAAGTTCTAAATTGGCTTCCCCTTGCTGCCAGTCCAAGGATTCCATTGGATAGAACCATTGTATTCCAAGAGGAATTATATTTGTGTGGTGTGGAAGTAACTGTCACACAAAATCCCCTATGGCAGAGCAAGACAAAGGGCAGTCCAGAAACATGCAATTTGTGTGGTGTGGAAGTAACTGTCACACAAAATCCCTTATGTCAGAGCAAGACAAAGGGCAGTCCAGAAACATGCAATCCCTAAAACTCACAGAAGCCGATAGAGTCTGTCCCCAGGCAAATGAACTTGAAATCAACCAAAAAAGCTCCAGAAACCATGCACACGTGCAGCAGATTGCTTCTCCCAATTCCTGAAAGCTCCCTCAAAACGTTGGGTTTTTTTTCATTCAGAGTAATTTTGGTGCAACTTTTCACCACAAAACTGTCCCAAAGCTTTATTAATGTGCCTGCAAATGTGGCAATTTGCTTTCCCCAAGAACACTTCACACACACCCCAACTCCCCCAACATTGTGTGGTAATGATAAAATGATATTTGGAAGTGGGTTGCTGTGAGTTTTCTGGGCTGTATAATCATGTTCCAGAAGTATTCTCTCTTGACGTTTCGCCCACATCTATGGCAGACATCCTCAGAGTTTGTGAGGTTTGAGGATGCCTGCCATAGATGTGGGCAAAACGTCAAGAGAGAATACTTCTGGAACATGGCAATGCAGTCTGGAAAACTCACAGCAACCCAGTGATTCTGGCCATGAAAGCCTCCGACAACACATCGTTGGAAGAGTTGACTGGAAGTGGCATTACAACTTGCTTGAAGTAAGCCAATCCAGGTGGAGAAACAGTCACATCTCTTCTCCAGCTGCTTACTCCAACATCGTGGATTTTCGTTTTTTTTTTTTAACTGGCACCAAATTGACTCCAACTTAAAAGAGGCAATATGCATGTGATTCGCTCTCCATTAATACCTGCGACTCGGTGACAAAGTTCTTGATGCAGGAGATGATCGTCCAGTGGTCTTCAGTGGTGAATGTCTTCTAGGAAGGCATATGCATTACTACAAGCTCATGACTAATGTATTTCTTTCATTCCAAGACACACTCCCCCCCATATAAACATCTCTAAAAGAAGGATGCATCTTAGAATCATGGGTGCTTTTAGATCTGGAATGGACAAGCTTCGACCCTCCGGGTGTTTTGGACTGCAACTCCCACAATTCCTAACAGCCGGTAGGCTGTTAGGAATTGTGGGAGTTGAAGTCCAAAACACCCGGAGGGCCAAAGTTTGCCAATGCCTTATTTAGATAGATGAGGGATTGATAAATAGATAGGTGATATATAGTAATCACAAATCACAAATCTTCACCATTTCTATTTCTTCCCAGCATTAATGAGCCATTCCATATCAAACATTTCATTGCAGTGTGTGGCAAGTTAAAACAACAGAATGCCACATGTTACAATAAAGATCGAAGCAATAATTAAAGCTGTGTCTGGAATCAATCAGGAAATCTAATAAAGGAAAGTCTTCCGTGAAACCTGAAATCAATGTGGCACAGGCATACACACACACACACTATATCCCACTTTTGTGATGCCAAGTAGTACGGAAATAACATCAAAGTACAGCGAACATAAAGGGAAATCACACTTTAAAACATCCCAAGGTGGATGTTTGCACTTACAATGGGCTGTGATTCTGTTCGTCATCAGAGTCCGATTTCTTCTGGATCCAGCTCTTATCGCTTCTCAGCGTTGTCCGCACTTTCATCTGAGTGATGATCTTCTTCCGATCGCCTTCAGTAGGAGGGATGACACCATCTAAGAAAGAAGAAACAGAATAGACATTTGAGCAAGGAGTGGCGAGACCATGCTCTGTGCAGTAACCTTCTTCCAAGACTATCTTCAGGATTGATAACTATAACATACTGATGTATAATATATATTATAATATCAGTCGAAACCCGGTTGGAGCCTCCGGTGGTGCACCGGGCTAAACCGCTGAGCTGCTGAACTTCCTGACTAAAAGGTCAACGGTTCGAATCTGGGAGGCGGGATGAGCTCCTACTGTTAGCCCCAGCTTCTGCCTACCTAGCAGTTCGAAAATATGCAAATGTGAGTAGATCAATAGGTACCACTCCGGCGAGAAGGTAACGGCGCTCCATGCAGTCATGCTGGCTTGGAGGAGTCTATGGACAACACTGGCTCTTTGGCTTAGAAATAGAGATGAGTACCACCCCCCCCCCCAGAGTTGGACACGACTGGACTTAATGTCAAGGGAAACCTTTATCTTTACCTATTGGTTGAAGTGACTAGCAATGAACCCCTTTGCAATTCCTTCATACAGTTGACCCTCTGCTGTTGCGGGTTTCCCTTTTGCGGATTTGATTATTCATGGATTTGACTACAGTGTTCTCTCTAGAGATTTCTAAGGACCTCATCCCATGATGGGGGGAGGGAAGGAGGGGAGTGCCATATTACCATTGTGTTTAGACCCCTTGTGCTAGAAAGCAAATCGTATCATTTAACATTACCTATCACTGGTGTTGTTTCTTGCCTTTTCTCCTGAAACAATCTATTTTCAGCTTTATCACATGAGCGAGTGCAGTTAAGGCAGACCCCCACCTTTCCCATGGGCTCCCCCTTCTAATGCCTCCACTCCCAAGGAGACAAAAGACATTGTTCCAACCTCATAGGAGACTGCCCATAGGAATGCCCATTTACCAATGTCAACAAAACAATTCAATCACGGCAAATCTGACAGATAACATCCCATGTTGTTTTTTCACTATTTCCTTCTGTTTTCATTTGGATCCAGAATTCAGGAGATAATTTCTCCCTGTCTTCTTTCCCCCCTCCCCAAACCCCATTTCTTAACACATTCAACACATTTCTTTAACAAGGCATAACAAACAAAAACAGGAAGTTTCCTTGCGTTGTGTGATGGGCTCCGTTTTACTTCATTTCAAAACAGGGGGCGGGATATGTTGGATAATGTCCTCAGTCTTCCAGTGTGATTGTGTTGGAAATAGCAACCTTCTCAAGCTTCCACTAGTCATTTGTTATGCATATAATTCAGATTGCTTACTGTTTTGTATATGTGTGTATTGGGATGCAATTTTACCTTAACTCTTTGTTGTAGGAGGGGCTGTAGACCATGTGATCAGAACTGGGATTGTTCAGGACTCCCTTGATTTGAGTCTACTGGGAGGAGGCTGGTAGCCATGTAGTGGGTGCCTTTAACAAAGTTCAACCTTATTTCTCTCACATTTAGCAGCAAATTCCCATCGCACATGGGGGGGGGGGCAATGCCAGCTAGCTTGTAGAGTTTATCAACAGGTGTAGGTTTAAGACATCCTGTGATTATTCTGCATGTTTTGTTCAATGCTATGTTCACCTGCTTTGCATGGGGCAGACCTATGCCAAACAGCGCAGGCATACTCAGCATTTGAGTAAGACCCTAACAGTTCAAAGACATGTATAACAGCTGAGAAAACTAACTGCCTTGCATGAATGCCGTTTTCCCAAAAGGTTATGACTCTAACAGGTCATGCTTTTTACTAAGAGGTTATGGGATCCTTTTTCTTTTCAATATGCTGTGACTTGTAACAAGAGGAGACATGATAGCCATGTATAAATATGTGAGAGGAAGTCACAGGGAGGAGGGAACAAGCTTGTTTTCTGCTTCCCTGGAGACTAGGACAAGGAACAATGGCTTCAAACTACAAGAAAGGAGATTCCATCTGAACATGAGGAAGAACTTCCTGACTGTGAGAGCCGTTCAGCAGTGGAACTCTCTGCCCCAGAGTGTGGTGGAGGCTCCTTCTTTGGAAGCTTTTAAACAGAGGCTGGATGGCCATCTGTCAGGGGTGCTTTGAATGCAATATTCCTGCTTCTTGGCAGAATGAGGTTGGACAGCATGAGGTCTCTTCCAACCCTAGAAGTCTATGATTCTATGATTCTAAGGTCACACATTTCCAAAAGTTATAAAATCTCCAAAAGGTTCTGGAGACTTCCATTTTCCAAAAGAGTCTATGTCAGTGTTTCTTAACCTGGGGGTCGGGACCCCTGAAGGGGTCGTGAAGGGGTGTCAGAGGGGTCGCCAAAGACCATCAGAAAACACAGTATTTTCTGTTGGTCATGGGGGTTCTGTGTGGGAAGTTTGGCCCAATTCTATCACTGGTGAGATTCAGAATGCTCCTTGATTGTAGGTGAAATCCCAGTATCTACAACTCCCAAATGTCAAACCCTTCCAGTATTTTCTGTTGATCATGGGAGTTCTCTGTGCCAACTTTGGTGCAATTCCATTGTTGGTGAGGTTCAGAGGCTCTTTGTTTACATGTTAACTATAAATCCCAGCAACTACAACTCCCAAATGACAAAATCAATCCCCCCGCCAACCCCACCAGTATTCAAATTTGGGCATACCAGATATTTGTGCCAAATTTACTCCAGTGAATGAAAATACATCCTGCAGATCATTATTTACATGGCAATTCATAATGTTAGGCTTATGGTTAAGGGTCACCACAACATGAGGAACTGTATTAAGGGGTCGCGGCATTAGGAAGGTTGAGAACCACTGGTCTATGTCAACTTCTGCTCTTTGAAAGTGGAGTGCTGACTGTACAATGTTAGGTTCTTGGATACTTGAGTGAAAAAATGGTTTCTTCTTCAAAATGGTTTCTTCTTCAAACTATCCCACATGTATTCTTGATAACCTTCCACGCCTCCACTTTCCGCATTCTGCATTTGAATGCCCCCCCCCTCCTCAATCTTCTTACCCACCCTGTTTTAATTATATACTTAATGCAAGGTGGATGCAGAGAAGAAATGGAGTTGTAGATACTTGATCATCAATATGCAACGCCGCAGACTGCGTTGCTGGTTCTTGCCTGGGAAACCTGTGCTCTCCCATTGATCTTTGCAGAGCAAGCGTCTTCGCTGGGAGGATCCAGGAAGAAAGGAGGCAGCGATTGAGTTGGGCAACCCCATTATAGATTTTCTCGCCCTTATGGGGGAAGAATCTAGACTGCAAGAAGGCAACCTCAAAGGCACACATTTTGAAGTAGCCAGCAACTAAACATGCTCCCCGAGGTTCAACGGTGAACTCAGTAAATCCCCAAGCCTGACCCAACATCCACATTTTCACCAGTGAATTAATCAATGGTAACTTGCTGGATTTAACGAATCCAATTATGACTGTTTATGCTGGTGAATTAATTTCCTAGTTTTCAATGTTTAACATTAGAGAATGTAAATAATTTGCCTGCAAGTCAAGATCTTTTTCATTTAAGGAAGTCTTTGGCTTTCAAGTTACTAAGGCAGAAGGATCTCTTTGATGTGGGGTGTGCAATACTTTGATCATTCTAATGTTGCCAGTTAGTATTTTAATAGAACTATCTTCTCTCTGTGTGTATCTCTTTTGTCTGTGTGTTTCACAAATGAAACCCAAAGCATGTATGGTGGAGCTTGGTGTGGTCAAGATGGCAAAAGTTATTGAGGAAATAGAGCCAAACTAAGAGAGTCTGCAGTCATTTGCTTTTTCCTGAGCCAACTGGGAAGGGAAAGATTGCATTCCTTCCTCTCTTCTCCTTCCTGTTGAGTAAACATACTCAGCATAAACTAATTTCCACTTTCCATTCAGTCTGTCCCAATGGAAATGAGCTGAGGATGAAAACACACAGTGGGAGGAAGAGAAGGAAATTCATAGAAGGTGTAGCTTGATATTAGACTTCATCACAGCTGGGAAGTGTTTGATAGAGTAGATCTCAGTGTCTTCTCTGCCAAAGAGTATTGATGCTTCAGCGAACTAGAAGTCCCAGGCTTCCATAGCACTGAGTGGAAGTGGTGTCAAACCGTATTCATTCTACATCTTGAAAGCAGCTCCAAAAATGGGATGAAGAAAAGGTAAAGGTTTGAGCAAAGGAAGATAGATGCTTTTTGTGGTGTTGGAGGAAACTTCTGAGAGTGCCCTGGACAGCGAGAAGATCCAACCAGTCCATACTTCAAGAAATAAGCCTGACTGCTCATTGGAGGGAAGGATAGTAGAGGCCAAGATGAAGTACTTCGGTAACATCATGAGAAGAAAGGAAAGTTAGAGAAGACAATGATGCTGGGGAAAATGGAAGGGAAAAGGAAGAGGGGCCAACCAAGGGCAAGATGGATGGATGGTATCCTTGAAGTGACTGGATTGACCTTGAAGGAGCTGGGGGTGGTGATGACCGACAGGGAGCTCTGGCATGGACTGGTCCATGAAGTCACAAAGAGTTGGAAATGACTGAACGAATGAACAACAAAACAAAGGTTTCCCCCTGACATTAAGTCTAGTCAAGTCCATGGGGTGGTGCTCATCTCCATTTTGAAGCCGAAGAGCTGGCGTTGTCCATAGACATCTCCAAGGTTATGTGGCCAGCATGACTGCATGGAGCACCCTTACCTTCCCGCCGAAGCGGTACCTATTGATCTACTCACATTTGCATGTTTTCAAATTGCTAGGTTGGCAGATGCTGGAGCTACCAGTGGGAGCTCACCCTGCTCCCCAGATTTGAACCACCAACCTTTGGGTCAGCAAGTTCAGCAGCTCAGTGCTTTAACCCGCTGCGCCAAAGGATTAATCAGGACTGTCCTTCTCAAATTAGGACAGTTAGACTGTATTAAATTGCTACAGTGGCTTCTGATATGCGCTGAAAGGATGGAGATAGTCAAAGTAGGAAAACAATCAGGAATTTATCAAAGTGATGTCCATTTACCTTTTGCAGCACTGAGCGACAGCATGGTTCCAGCTGGTTTCCTTGTGTCTCAGCTTCCAGATTTTTTGCTTTAGGCGATGTAACTAAGGAGAAAGGAATGAAATCCAGGTTATTAATGCAACGAGCAAGTAGCAGAAGTCTCATAAACATTCAGCATTCCACAAAGGATGGTTAGTGGCTTGATTGGAAAAGGTGCACTTTTGGAGAGAAGCAAAGCCTACTTTTATTTCTTTGTCCATTTTTCAGTTTTGGAGTTCCTTTTGACACTGCCCTCTCTCTTTATCCATTGGATCCCTCCCCTTCTTTATGTTGTTGATTTTGCAATTGCAGTTTTTTTATTACGAATTACTTTCAAAACCCTTATGGTCGAAAAGCAATACACAGGCACAATAGACAGATGGACAATGACTTAACAAAAAGCCGTAAGCAGCTTCTGGTGAAATCTACACTTTGCTGGTCTTTCAAATTCACTTTCTAAATAATAATAATAATAATAATAATAATAATAATAATAATAATAAACCTCATCATCATCAATTGTTGTTTGCTACCCATATCTCCTAAATATTCAAGCGGGGGTACAACTCCCCAAGATCACCTCCAACAGAAGATTGATATTGGACATAAAAGGTACCAACAGATATGTCAAGTAAGCAAGAGAAGGGGGCAGTGAAAGACCAGCTTTTTGTTCTCTTCTTTAAGATAGCCTTTAAGGCAGTGGTTCTCAACCTTCCTAATGCCACGGCCCCTTAATACAATTCCTCATGTTGTGGTGACCTCCAACCATAACATTATTTTCGTTGCTACTTCATAACTGTAATTTTGCTACTGTTATGAATCGTAATATAAATATCTGATAAGCAGGATGTATTTTCATTCACTGGACCAAATTTGGCACAAATACCCAATTCACCCAAATTTGAATACTGGTGGGATGGGGGAGGGGTGAGGTTGATTTCGTCATTTGGGAGTTGTAGTTTGCTGGGATTTATAGTTCATCTACAAGCAAAGAGCATTCTGAACACCAATGATGGAATTGAACCAAACTTGGCATTCAGAACTCCCATAACCAGCAGAAAATACTGGAAGGGTTTGGTGGGTATTGGCCTTGAATTTTGGAGTTGTAGTTCACCTACATCCAGAGAGCACTGTGGACTCAAACAATGAGGAATCTGGACCAAACTTAGCACGAATACTCAATATGCCCAAATGTGAGCATTCTGGACCTCCCACCCCCCCCCCCCAAATGATAGAATTGGGCCAAACTTCCCATGCAGAACCCCCATGACCAACAGAAAATACTGTGTTTTCCGATGTTCTTTGGTGACCCCTCTGACACCCCCTTACAACCCCCATTCCCAGGTTAAGAAACACTGATTTAAGGTTTTGTGAGCTTAGGACTTTCAAGGTCCCATCCCCAATTATCTATCCCCGGCTGTATAGATTGGACATCTCTATACCCAACTGTAGTTTAAGTATTTTGAACCTCTCCTTTCCTGTCCTTAGATAGATTTTCTAAAAAAAAAAATCATTCCATAACCTTCCCACTCCCAGTTGTGGGTTAGATTTTCGTGAATTTGAATAATCACAGATTTGATTAAAACGTGATCTCTAAGAAATTGTAGGTTCTCCAGGGCAACTCTGTGATCAATTTTAGCTTGTAAATTGCCTAGAGCATCTTGGATGGAGGGCGATTAATAATTAATTAAATGATGGTGATGATGATCAGCTTCTTCCTCTGGAAGTTGATCATGGAATCATGCTGGAGAATTTAGGGATTCTTTCTAGGAATCTGTAGGTCCCCCAGTGCAATTCTATAGTCAGAAAATCTAGACCCATGGTTCCCAAACTTTTTTTGACAAGGTACCACTTTGACCGGGAACCATTCTCCAATATTAGTACCAAAAGGGTTACCAATAATTTTTTGGCCAACTTTAGATTTGGTTTGGTTATTTGGGGTGCTGATTCAGAAAATTGCATTGGATAAACCACATCAGCTCTAGTTTCTGATACAGAACATATGTCATCCAGTAGTAACCATCTGCTCGCTTGCAAAAAAATAATAATTAATAAGCCTTGGCACTATTAGAGGGTTTTGTGAGATCAGTCACTCTCATTGCAAAGGTGTAGTAATGGTGAGTTCGCGGACCACATTTTTGTTCTTGAGGACCACTGGTGGTCAATGGAACCACTGATTTAGACATTCCTGGAGAGTTGTTCTCTTGGGTAAAAAAAAATAGCTGTTTTTTATTTGCCATTTTTTCACTTTCATGGGGCTCTTTTGTCCCTAATCCCAGGAAATGTGGAGGGCTGACTGTATTATATTTCAAGCACAAAGCAACATTGGTATGCCTCCCATAACTGCATTACATCAGCCAGTCACATTCACTACCGAAATGCCAAATAGCATTAATTTTTCCTAGTAATTGGGAGAGGGGAAAGCTGTTTTTTTGGCAAGGCAGTCCATGACTGAGACACGCAACCTCTTTGCTCATTGCTTTCACTAGCTTCCCATAGAAACCGTCTTGCTCATTTAGATCACAGCGTGAGACATGTGTCTGTCCTGATACTTTTTGACTCAGAGTCCCATCAGCCTAAACAGCATGTCCAACAGTCAAAAGGTTTTATGGACAGTAATAGCCCAAGGACTGCAGATTTTCTCAGTTTGCTCCACCTTTGAGTCTTCAAACATTTTCCAGGTCCTATGAGGCCAACCACAATTGAATATTGGCAACACAACTGCACTTCAAATCTCAGTCTATAGAACGCATGGGCAAACTTTGGTCCTCCGGGTGTCTTGGACTTCAACTCCCACAATTCCTAACAACCAGTAGGCTGTTAGGAATTGTGGGAGTTGAAGTCCAAAACACTTGGAGGGCCAAAAGTTGCCCATGCCTATAGCTTATCAACAACATACATATCAATATCTATCATAATAACAATACAAATCACACATGAAATTGGACACATTTGCCCAGTCCCAAAGGCTCCATGTATCCTAAGCAAGACTTGAGGGCAGAACTCAATACTTCTGCCAGATTTGGAACAACTTTAAAGCCCTATATATTCAAAATAGGGACAAATGCAATACAAAAGTGACACCACTGAGAATTCCCCCTTTTGTTCCCTCTTAAAAACACAACTGAAATTCCCACTACCTTTTTCACAGCCCTGGCAGCAAGTGCAAGCTCCTCTCCAGCTCTCTTCCTCGCCTTCTGAACTCAACCGGCGAGTCCAACGCCCTTGACTTGGGGTTTCCACACCCAATGGGCCAAACCAATGCTCATTAGGGTTACACCTGCTCCAGGTACTTCACCATCAGAAGATTGTTCTGACCTACAATGAACCCTTTTCTGTAATAGCACTTTATAGGCTGGTTGGCAAAGGGACACCTCGGGCATCTGATTTGGGACATTATGGTGTAGTGGTTTGAGTGTTGGGCTACGACTCTGGAAACCAGGGTTCACATCCCCATTACTCCATGGAAAACCCACTGGTTGACCTTGGGCAAGTCCCAATCTCTCAGGGTCTGCCCAGACAGTACTTTTATCCCAGGAGCTTCTGCAGCAAACAGAAAGGTGGCCAGATGCCATTCCCTGTAAACGCAGAAGCAATTGCTACAAAAGGCAAAAAACGTGAGATTTCCAGGTATGGGGATATCACAGTTTTGAGCCAAATATGCAGATTTTCGCATGTCTATATGTTCCTGCAATCGAAATCACAGATTTTTTAAATTTGGGTTTGTTCCCGGATTTTAGATGTTTGTTCCTGATTGGTCGGTTCCTAAAAAGAAGGTGACACTTGAGTAGAAGACAAAAAAATTGTTTGTGTGCCAGAAATTTCATGAAATGTGTTCTCTGACCAGGACAAAGTTGTGGCCCCTTGTCAATGTTGTATATCTTTTCACAAGAAGAGCAATCAGGAACAGCCTTTTATGACCTAGAAACAGCACCCTGTTGTTTGGTGACAGAAGTACACAACTAAATCTGTCTGGACAGATGGACAGGCAGCCAAGCTCTAAAAAGTGTCAATAATGACAAAATTCTGTTCCTGGCTTGAAAGTGTGTGTTCCTGTTTGATTGTGCAGCGCTGACTTGGGCATAAGTGGTCCTACCCCATAAATGTTGCCTGTGTGGCAGATACTTCATGAAATGTCTGGAGGGCACAGTTTCTCTGGACAGGACAAATGGAACTTTTGCAGTGATTCGCAAGGGTCGAAGTTTGCCCATGCCTGATACAGAGACTCAAAGAGAGAGAAGATATTACTCATATCCACAAATAATCAAATCTGCAAACGTTAACCCTGTAAAAGTGGAGGGCATCATCTATGCATATTGGCAGAGAAATGATGATACATTAGACTTCATTGGCTGTTCAAATTATTATAACAGAATGACTTGAGCAATATGCAATTAATTCCTAATGACTGTTATTTTGTTTACACAGCTATTTTGTATGTGCAAAATATTGTGTTTTACGTGTTGTCCAAGGTTTTCATAGCCGGAATCACTGAGTTGCTGTGAGTTGTCCGGCATGTCTCACCATGTTCCAGAAGCATTATCTCCTGAGAAATTACATTGTTTAGCCGGTATTGCACCACCTGACATCCGCTGGGAAGTAGCAGCCAATAGTGAAAGGACCAAGGCAGCGACATCTCCAGCCCATCCCTTGTTTGGGTATCAGCCAGCACGTCAATGACTCTAAGATCTACAGAAACACTCGCTGGAACACCTCAGCAAGCGAGAGTCCAAAAGTGGCAGGCTCAAACTCAGAACCTCAATCAATGGCTGATACCAGATGAGAGACTCCCCCCTGGGCACACAGAAAACTGGGCGACTTGGGAGGCACTGAACAGACTGCGTTCTGGCACCACGAAATGCAGAGCCAACCTTAAGAAATGGGGCTACAAAGTGGAATGCATGACATGCAAGTGTGGAGAAGAGCAAACCACTGACCACCTACTACAATGCAACCTGCTACATGCACAATGGAGGACCTTCTTATAGTAACACCAGAGGCATTCCAAGTGGCCAGATACTGGTCAAAGGACATTTAATCAACTACCAAGCTTGGAAACTTTGTG